ACACACACACACACACACACACACACACACACACACACACACACACACACACACACACACAAAACCCAAGTATTAATGCTCGACAGTGGTAATAAATGAAATGAATAATTAATGAGTGTTTTGTCCCTCTAATATCTTGCATACCTATTACTTTCCCTCTGCTCCCCCTTCTTTATTCTTTGCTATTAATCCTGCTTTATGTCTCTCTCTCTCTCCCATTGAATGCTGCCTCAGTAACGTCCTTGTGATTGGATGAAGGCGGCACCGCTGCCTAACAGAATGGACCTGCTGCATCTGGACATTTTCTCCAAGCCCTAATTCTCTGGTGGGTGGCAGCTTTTTAAATAAATATGGTTTTAATGGTTTTAATGTCAGAATAGATTGTGCATACATTMCTGTATTTTAGAAACAATTCTTGGTTAGAAGTCGAAATAAATCTGACTTGCTTTTTAAAATAACTTTATTATTATTCAGCTGCATGCATTTTTTTCCTGTAATTTTAATACTCCAGTGAGTTTAAGAAAGGCAATAAACAGAGTGATTTCTCACCTAGCAAAGAGTTAACTGATGGCTCCTTGGATGCTTTTTCTGTCGTTTTCATTTCTCTGGTGTTTGGAGCATCACAGTGTTACTCTGTTTCCACAGAAACCAGCTGTAGTTTGGTTCCACATGGTTGTTTCAATGTGGTCTCTGAGGACAATCCAAGAAACACTTGGGATTCTTTTCATTCTTCTGTCATTATTTTTACTGACTTCTTTTTTTTTCTCCCTCTCTGTGGCTGTCAGATCTGCAGCTGAGTCTACAGAACTCCAATCTGTGAAGCGTATCGCTCTGTGACCGACCCTCTACCAGGTATGAAGCTTTTAGTTTTAAATTGTCCACTATCCAAACTTACTAGTGTGGAATAAAGTACAGCTTTAAAATAAACCCTCGAAAAATATCAATTTGACCATTTTTTTAAATTAACAATAACTAGGACAGATATTGTTACCAACCTGACAATTCAATTTTAGTTATTTGGGTCACAATTCTATTCAATTTAATATTTGACAAATTATTCATTAGAGTCCCTGTGGATGATTTTTAAATATTTATTTTGTTGCCCTTATAAAAAAAATACCTTATTGTTAAAAAAACAAACAAACTTGTTCGTCTAATTTTGTAGGTTATATTAACCTTGACGCTGCCTGCATGCTGCACAGCTGAAACTGTAAGAAATAAATGTAAAATGTTGCATAGCAGACGAGGCTGTTTTGCCAAAATAATGTCCTCACTGTTGAGACTTGTGTTGATTTAAAGTTCACTCACTCCAAGTTTTGCAGATGAAACAACTTCAAATAAAACTTTGAGTATASAGACGTGTCAGCTGCAATTACGATCGCAGAGAATCTTTATTTTTTTTATTTATTTTTACCGGTCGGAAGGATCAGTGCAGAAGCAGTAATGCGACAYTAAAGCTCAGCTTACTCCTGACCGTAGTTTCAATACAGTATATTACCCTTTCAAAATAAACCATGTTGGCAGGAACAGCATCTCTAATTATAATGTAAACGTAACAACTAATTAAAAAAATAAGCCCTTATTTCCCTCAGGGGATCAATAAATATATTTTTTCTAATATATTATTTAACAACTTTGTAATTGGATTGTGTTTTAATTTCACTTTTTTTGTTTGTTTGGGTTTAATCCAAATTGATAATTAACAGTTTGGTGTAATTTCCCTGATCCTGAGAAGCAGTCAAATTTCTCCAACCATTTTTGTAGCAATTTTCTTTGCTAATTTTATTTGTATATATA